AGCGTGCAATCGCTGGAGCATAACCCAGGAGGATGTCTTAGCAGTGAGTGCAACTCTGTGGCTGGTGGCCAGGCAGGACCGGAGCCCCTCATTTCTGTCCTGCATTTCAGCCCTGCAAGCCCAACAAGGAAGGCTGCCCCTGTTTCAAAAGGGGGAAATTCAGGCAGGGAGCAGCTCAAAGCTTGCCTGCCCCAGACCCATCTCCATCCCTCCACCCACTGCCCAGGCAGCCCTGGAGCCTCGGCCAGGGTGAGCGGCCCCACGCAGACCCTCGCTGCGCACAGGCTGAGCCACCCCTCGGCCCAGATGCCAAAGCTGTGAAATTTCTGCACCGTGCTTGCCTGAGACACTCAGCCCAGACCCCACGGGACATCTGTGCCAGAGCCGTTTGGCTGGAAAATAAGCTGGCTGCTGGACCCCACCTGAAGTCTGCAATCGAGCACCTTCTGAAAGCTGTATTTTAGCCCAAGCACAAGCTATTAGGCTTGCCGTAGCTATCGTTGCCTTTATTTCCGTACCCTACACGTGGCAAGAGACCTAACGCACAGATGAATCTACCCCATTTGGCCTCAGAGATCCATGAATGCAATTTTTTACACAGATGATTTTCTGCTATATAAATAAATAATAAATATGATTACTGTTGTCTCCAGCACCTAAATGGCTTCTCAGAGCATGGTTTTCAAAAGCTCTCAGCGTTGGCCTCATCCTACCGGTAACAACCCATCACTGCCTTCAACTGCAGCAGAACAAGATGAAAAGCGAAGGTAATTCTAAAGCCCGGCCCTAAAAGCAGCCAGCGCTGCTCTAACAAGCTTCTCCCCACCAAGCCACACAACGGTGAGGAAAGCCACCAATCCAGCTGTATCTTCTGTCCAAACCAGAGGGACAGCAAACACGGCCCTGGATCCCACCGGCGCGGCGCACGCACGGCCCCATGCTCCCATCGCAGCTCTTGTGCTTTGCCCAGAGCATCCACCGTGGAACAGAAAGGTACTGAGACGGAGCGAAGACCAGCGATGAGCCCATTCCCCAGCGCAAGCACGCTGCGAACCTGCCCGGCAGCACAGACCCTGGTCCAGACTTGGCATCCTCAGGAGGGAGATCCCAGCTGGGCTTTGTGCAGCCGGTATTGGGAAAACCTGTGCTGAGCTCACCCTGGCCTCAGGATGGCTTCTACCTGCACAGCACAGACATGCCCTAAGGCCATGTCTCCCCATGTAAGTTAACCATCCATGGAGGCAGCTCAGGAGCTCAGGAGGGGGCCACTGCCCGCAGGCAGCTCCCAGGGCCAGGAGGGTTTGTTCTCAGCCCCAGGCATGTTACTGCTCTGGCAGGGGTGCAGCCTAAGGACTTCAGAGCTGAACACCTTCACAACATGGTTTAGTAGGCTTGGTGGTGTTGAGTTGACAGTTGGACTTCATGATCTGAGAGGTCTTTTCCAACCTCAATGATTCTATGATTCTATGATCTACAGAAAATGGATACAACTTTCCAAAGGACAGGAAGGCAGGGAGGTGTTGTACAACACTTTACATATGACTAAAAAAACATACAGCAATCCATAAAGTCATGGAATGGTTTGCACTGGAAAGGACCTTTAAAAGTCTAGTTCCAATCCCCCTGCCATGGGCAGGGACACCTTCCACCAGACCAGGTTGCTCAAAGCCCCGTCCAGCCTAGCCTTGAGCATTTCCAGGGAGGGGGCAGCCACAGCTTCTCTAGGCAACCTGTGCCAGTGTCTCAACATGCTGACTGCAAAAAATTTCTTCTTTATATCCAGTCTAAGTCTACTCTCTTTCCATTTAAACACTTTTCCCCTTGTCCTGTCACCACAGACGCTGCTAAAAAGCCTCTCTCTCTTTCTCATAAGCCCCCCTCAGGCACTAAAAGGCTGCCATAACATCTCCCTGCAGCCTTCTGTTCTCCAGGCTGGACAGACCCAACTCTCTCAGCCTTTCCTCACAGCACATTTTTTTGCTCTCCTCTGGACCCGCTCCAACAGCTCCATGTCTGTCCTGTGCTGGGGGCTCCAGAGCTGGACGCAGGACTCCCGGTGGGGTCTCACCAGAGTGGAGCAGAAGGGCAGAATCCCCTCCCTCGACCTGCAGGCCACGCTTCTCTTGATGCAGCCCAGGATATGGTTGGCCTTCGGGGCTACGAGTGCACATTGGTGGCTCATGCCCAGCTTTTCATCCACCAGCACCCCCAAGTCCTTCTCCTCAGGGCTGTTCTCAATCCCTTCAACCCCCAGTCTGTATTGTGATAGCAGGGGTTGCCCCAACCCACATGCAGGACCTTGCACTTGGCCTTGTTGAACCTCATGAGGTTCCCACTGGCCTATTTCTCAAACTTGTCCAGGTCCCTCTAGATGGCATCCTGTCCCTCAGGCATGTTGACTGCACCATGCAGCTTGGTGTCATCTGCAAACTTGCTGAGGGTGCACTCGATCCTGCTACCTATGCCACTGATGAACATACAAAATAGTACTGGTTCTAGTGCAGGCCCTTGAGGGACACCACTCACCACTAGCTTCCACAGGGACATCCAAGCCATTGACTGTAACTCTGGACGCGGCCATCCAGACAATTTGTTACCCATCTAACAGTGCATCCATCAAACCCACGTTTTTCCAATTTAGAGGTAGGATGTTGTGGGGGACCATATCAAAGGCATCACAGAAGTCTGGGTAGATGACATCTGTAGCTCTCTCCTTATCCACTGATGCAGTCACTCCATCGCAGAAGGCCACTAGATAAGGCTTGATTTGCCCTTCATGAAGCCAAGTTGATTGTCTCTAATCACCTCCCTGTAGTCCATACGATTCAACATAACTTCTAGGAGGATCTGTTCCATGATCTTACCGTTTCTTAAGAAACATTGCAAAGTTTTATCTTTTGTTGCTGATGAAAGCTTTGCCTGCACTGGCCCCGCTCACCCACACCATGCTGCAGTGTGCATGACAGCAGCAACACAACACAGAGAAGCAAGGGAAAAGGAATTACAGCAGCTATGCAAAAACACCCCTCACCGAACGCCGTGCTAGCTGGAGCCAAAAACCATCTTGACTGCAGTGATTTGCTGTGGTGGTGACAGAATCACAGAATCACAGAATGTTCAGGGTTGGAAGGGACCTCTGGGGATCATCTAGTCCAACCCCCCTGCCGAAGCAGGGTCACCTACAGCAGGCTGCACAGGATCTTGTCCAGGTGGGTCTTGACTATCTCCAGAGAAGGAGAATCCACAACCTCCCTGGGCAGCCTGTTCCAGTGGTCAACATTGCCTTAGCAGGACAGGGGGGCATTCCAATACGGAGTGCGTCGTCTTAATTTCAGGATGTGAGGCTGCCTTGCTCTCCTGCATTTGTCATCAGAAAGGAAAGCAGCATGCATGCCTGCTCCCAAGATGACTTTCTGGCTGGTGTATCTGCACTGTGGCCTTTAGATGGTGCTCAGCAAGGCCTGGGGCTGCAAAACAAAGCACGACACAACTTCCCCTGAACCCCCTCAAAGTGGTGGGCCCACGGTAGTCCCAGAGCTCCCGGACGCTGGCACTGGGTTAAGTTGCTGCTCCCTGCTCACCTGCCTTTGGAGTTTATTGCCTCTCCAGTCTTCTGCCTGCTTCTGGGACTTTGCAGCAGGATACCCTGGGGGGTCACACTGACCTGGGGAGCTCGTTTTACCTTCCTGAGACCAAAACCACAGCTACTAGCAGCGCCTGGCAATCTGAGGCCACACCAGCCAGGGAGCCTAGTAAACCCTGTACCAAGCTGCCCCGCAGATTGCCAGGACAGCCCATCCCACAGTGCCCCAACATGTAAATCCCCATGCCCATCGCAGGACCGGCATGTTTCTTCACTTGAAAATCGGAACAATAAAGGGCATCATGAGCAGTGGAGCAAGGGATGTCACTCGCCATGCAAAAGGTGCTCCACAAGTGCGTGAGAATGCAGCCAAGCACACGGCACCTCCCCAGCGCTGCCGACAGCCAGCCTGTACTTGCATGCTTTACCACGACAATTAAGTCAATTCAGTATCAGTTGGTTCTTCGTTACCAAAAGAAAGGCCACAGCTGATTTTATGCAAGTAAAAGCCCAGCTGTCTGGATACAGTTTTACCACTACAAAGACAAAGATTTGCTACAGGTGCAGATTTTTGCACTCCTTCATGGAAATAGCTTACAGCAATATAATTAATTGATCTCTGAATCTAAACCAGTGGAGATATAGCAGTTTTTCTTTTTCATAATGAAGTAGTACAACCTGTGGTCGTAGTTACACGATTCCTTTGAATGCCTGTAGGAACTCTTGATGCTGTACTTTCAGGGAATCTCAACCTT